TGGCCTGGCATTTTTCATACACATCTGCAGCCAGCAGCCGTTTCCAAAGACTGAATTTCATTGTTTAGACCTTTAAAACTGCCATTTCAACAAAAAAAGAGATTCTCCAGGATTTCAAGGTTTTAAAATAACCTTAGCTTTCCACTGGGGAGAGGTCAAAAGCAAGAGTAGCAGAGAAGGGATCCTCTCCTGCTGCCCCCGGGATGGCCATGCTGTCCCACCTTGTTCTTCTGCATTTCACTTGGCTCTTTACTTTGGAAGGACAACTTCCAAGTCACTTCCTCCTCCCCTGGGTCACGCACACGGCCCACAGATTAACCACCATCCTGACCACCGCTGTCCTCTCAGCCGCAGTGCCGGCGCTCCTGGCTCAGGAGCAAAGCCGGGCTACCATTGGCGTTTCACTGTGGGGCTGTGCTGCCGACTGGGGGCTCCGGGCGGGTTTGCGTGGTGCTCTGTGCAGAGTGCCCACCAACCGCCTGGTCACTGTGTGCTGACGCCTGGATTTTATAAAGCCGGCAGCTGCCGACAGCAGCCACTCAGCCTGGGCTGCCCGGGCTGCTTCCAGGGCGGCGGCCGAGGGTGTGACCTCGGCCACACCTGCCCTTGCCCCTGCCTTTTGTGGGAAGAAATGGTAGTTTCCAGGATGGTACGCAGCTCATTCTTGTAAATGTTGGAATTAACAAAAGTCACAGTAGATTTTTATGAAAAAGTTTCTGCCTCCATATGTTCTTCCCCTAAAGTAACTGCATATTGGTGAGTAAAAACGAGAGAAGTTGTGTTTGCGTTTTTTCTGGTGTAGAAGAGCATGTTAACACTTGATAGTTGTCCCAGGACAGTTCAGAGGAACGTGGACACTGCACAGCCACAGCTGTGAGCCACCTCCTGAGGTCACAGGGACATGGCAGACCTTTTGTTTTTGTGTTTTTAATATTTAATATCATAAGTGAACACAGACTTTCCTTTGGTATTTTTTCCCTCAAAAGTAATCGGAACTGGACATAAGTGGATTTGCTGCCGCCTCCTCCCACCTATTTCTCTTGCATTCAGTCTGGCAGTTGTGGGCACAGCGTGGCTTTGGAGCTGCTGTTTTTAAAGAAAGCACTTCCTTTTCACCTGGGAGACCCGGCCAGCAGTTTGGGGGTGCCAGGGAGGACTGTCCTCTCCCCAAAGGCCAAGCAGATGCTGCACATCGTGCTGAGAGGTTCAGTCGGTCAGCTGTAGAAATACGCGCACGTGAGTCCCAGGAAGGCCACTCTGACCCTGAGAATGAGCCAGGAACGGGGGCGAGGGCAGACAGCCAGGAGTGGCCAGCGGCTGGCACCTGGGCCTAGGATGAGAATCCCAGCCATGCCCCGAGGAGGGCGGAGGGTCCCAGAGGAAGGCGTACCCCCCGAGTTCCCTGGAAACTATTTCCCCAAAAACCTCTTTTAAGCTTGTCCTTTCAGGGCTCCTCGGTAATTAGATTTCACTGCGTTTCTGATGATACAGTTTTTCAGCCTGAATGCTTACGACGGGTTTGCACGTGCACTAAAGTGTTGCATTTCAAGCTGCTACCACTGGCTTAGCTGGATTTCTGTTCCATTCTCCCGACTCCCTTATTTGCAGTTGCAGGTACGGAGCCGGCGTGAAAGGGCACTTGTGATAATTATATCTGTAACGGTTAATGATGAGGAGCTTTATACAGACTCGTGTGTATAAGTCAGCAGCAGATACCACCTATTTTTGTAGTAAAAACACCAATTCATGTACAGCATGTATCATTGATTAGTGGGCTGTACTTGTTTTCTAATAAAATTGTCAAAACCTGGTATTGAGGGTTCTCATGGCCAGGCCCGATGTGGGGCTAGGGCACATTCAGCCGGGGAGGGTCAGGGCCTGGGGGCCCACAGTGAGCGCTGACTCCCGCCATGGCCTCAGCCGTGCTCCCACTGCTTGCTTCTTTGTGGAGTACAATGCATGTCTTAGGATTTGAAACCTGTACCTGTCCAGCAAGGCCAGACAACATTGTAGACTTCCACATTTTACAAAGGTTTCTTTTCATTTTCTTCTTTGACCAGGAGGTAAATGCAATTGGCAAACATGGTGTCAAACTGCAACCTTGAATGAGCACAGATTCTAGTGATCAGGCCCTTCCCTTCCAGCACCTGCAGTTTTCCGCTCAGAGCAGGTCCGCCAAGGGCTGATCAGCTAGAGTGCTGTGGAGTCACCATCAACTAGCCTCCACCTCCATGTGGTGTGAGCCTCCCTCAACCCGCCTCCACCTCCACATGCTGTGAGCCGCCCTCAACCCCGCCTCCACCTCCACATGGTGTGAGCCTCTCTCAGCCCCGCTCCCACTCCACCTGCTGGTGACC